GTTTGGCTGCCAGCTTCACACTCACTTTTGCCGCTTTCTCCCTCGCCAGCTCCATTGCGGCGTCTGTAGTCAATGTGATCCCAGCTGATGTGTCCACGTAACCACAGCGAAGAACGCGCGGCTAAACCCCTAAACTATCCCTGTACGCAGCTCGTTTGACTTCTAGCATTTCCGCCATTTTTTCAACCATCACCAAGGACGAGCTATTGCCTGACGAATGCGGACGAGGGACACCCATGAGAGCATGAGCATTCGCAGGCCAAATGCCAGCTTTGTTAAATGCCGATGTCACATTAGCTCTCGTAAACGCCTTCCCGTATGCCTCCCTCATTATTTTTAAATAATCAAACAGATCGTAGCTTTTCAATTTAGTAGGGGACGAAAGCTGTTCCACACAACTCCGTATGTGCTCCTTGAAGGGACCGAAAACCCCCACGTCTAGGGGTTGGGTTGTGCCGCTTGTATGAGAAGGTAATGCATACACGACTACGCCAGCCTGTTTCAGTGTGTGCAGCACCTTGTACCCCATATGGCTCCTGTATCCATCCATACATAAAAAAACTTTTCGTCCATTGGCCGTCAGGTCCCTAACATCCTCAGCAAAATACTGTGCCCATCGCAGAAAGTTTTTGCTGTCCACGCCGGCGACATCTTCTCGAGTTGTTACCAAACTCCCCCGCGGTAGGCAATCGGAAACGGTTTCCATTACAGATTATCCATGATGCTCGACCGTTCGATACTTTAAAGATTTTCCCTCCACAACAAACAAAGGGCGTCCAACGTCTCCATTGGCGAAAATAACGGGCATGATCGTGTAGTGCAACGCCGAGTTCGGCGAACTACTCCGCGAGTTCGGGCGCGGTGGGTAGCGACGCAGTATGACTGCGGTAGTGGTAGAGTGGAGACAAGCTCCGAAAGTACCCCGGACTGACCGGACTGTAGACAGCCAGTAGGGCGGATAGGGATAGGAGGGGAAGTAAAGGGAGCTGTTGGTGAAGTCAGCGTACACTCGCGCTTGGCGCCTGTACCGTCGGTGAGTTCACCGTGCAATATTAGGGGGCACTGAGCTGTAGAGGCCGGACTTGGTTGGGTTTACTAGGGTGGTGCTACCGTACTACCCTATATACTAATAGAGTGCCGGATTGAGGTCGCGGTGGTCCGCACACGTATACGTGTCGAGGGGCGCCGACAGCGGCGTGTCTATCATACTACTGTCTGGGAAGGGTCTGTAAGCTCTGTAATGTCAGCACGGAGGACAGCGGTACCTCCGCGAGGATTCTGCACACACGTGTACACGAGAGCCCAAAAATTGCAATTTTTGGATTGCCAGCAATGCCATGCGGCATGGACGCGTTGCGCCACAGATCGTTACGCGATTAACATTCTTGAATTCAGGTGATCTTTGAAGGGACTTGTGCCCTCGAGCACTATACGACCTTGTCCTGTTCGACTGTGCGCAATCGTCGCTCGGTGTAGAGCCGCTTTCGTCTAGATTAGCAATACGAGAGGCATCTAAATTATGCACATGAACAAGCCGCTCTAATTCCGCGATGTGGGCCGTCATATTATCGGCATTGGTTGCCCACCAGCGAGCTTCTTCCTCCTTACAGGCCCTTCCAAACTTAATTTTGGCACTGTGCCGTTTTGAGATGAGTGACAAAAACGTGCGTCCCGGACGCCCATCAATAAAGGGAATGGCTTTTTGGTGCTCCTCGGGCAACGAGTGCACCATCAGTTGTACAGCGTCGCCTACATCTGACCGCTTGAGAGGGAAGCCGCTCTGGGAGTATGAAAGGACGAGGTTAACAATGAGCTGCTCTTCACATAACGATAGATATGTACGTGATTTTGTCAACACATTTCGGCGCGAGAATCGATATTGAAACGTTGTCAAAGGGAGTCGTGCCAGTTGAGCAGCCCTGCGCCGAGTTGCACCATGCCTTTCAATCGCAACAATGGCTTGGTTGAAGTAGACCTTTTCTTTTTTTTCGCTGCTTGTCTTTTTGGTCATTGTGTGTTGGGGTGGGTGTGAAGAGAGACGGATCGAGCTCCATGGTTTTAATTTGCACAAAATTATGCACCAATGTTTGCATCAAGGGGGCAAGAAGGGCGCCAAGTCGGATTCTGCTGTTGAAATGGCGGGAAATGCATTTGTGGTTGATTTACGACACTGTCAGTCGACGGTTTTCACTCAAAAGTTGTCATGTTTATTGGTAAAAGCGGAATCGGAATAAAATTAGGCATACTATTTTTGTTCAAGTGAAGGGTGCTCTGTTCGAGAAAGGGGAGCATGCACGGGTACCGTACGGGAGTGTGTTTTTCCATCCCCCGTATTTATTTGAGGTCTGACAGCATGGCCCTTTTGGCCCATCTCATATCTCAATCTGCATTGTGTCGAGACTGAAAATTGCTTGTCGCGGAGCAGCTCTGACATGCTCACAATTCTGCTCACAATTCTGCTGAAATCGTTGATGTACAGTAGGTACTCCTCAATAGTGCATCCTCGTGCCATCAGCTATAGATACGCACTACTGACAGCGCGAACTAATAAAGGTCCATCCACAGGTCACAGCCCACCGGCCACAAAATGCTCCGATATGAGCATTTGACGTCGCTTCTTGCGCGCTTGTTGGTGATAAATTTAGGTCGGTGGTCGCTGTGGTCGCCATCGGTGGTCGGAGTGTCCGGTCGTGGTCGTCAACCGCAGCACAGCGGTGTGCATCTACATCGGCATGGCTCCACGTGCACAGGTGTACACGTGGCAAGAGTTGTGACATCGCTGAAAGGGGTGCACTTTTGGCCATGTGCACTATTGTAAAGCGAACTATTGAGGAGACCCCCTGTAAAATGTTTTTGATTATTCGGTCCATTACTGCAGCATGAGAATCGTTACTTGTATTCTGCTGCTGCAAACGATCATTTGGTTTTACGTTGTTGTTTTTTCTAAACTCCAAGGCCACAATGAATCTCAATGAATGCGATCGCAAGAAAGTCTACTCTTTTGTCCTGAGATCGTAGAGTGCTAATGGCAATAGTCGACGAGCTCCATGATTCTTGTGATCTCATAACCCTAAGAAGTCACTCTGCAGGGAGCACTCCTTTTTTTCTCTTCTACACTCTCATTTAAAGTTTCCATAGTACGCTTTATTTCTTATTGTTCGTGAACGCGAAGAAATAAACATGAGACGTTCAAGAAAATCGATAGCGTCACCGTGGGGGCACAAAAAAATAGCTCTGAAAATTTCGCATTCAACAAAGAGCTGGCCATTTATTGTGTATTACACTCAAAGAGCTAGGCCAGGAAGTGTTTGACTTGCTTAATACTTGATCAGATGCGCTTGGAAGAAATTCTGGAAGTAAACCAAATTCTACAGTGCACTGCTACGTATGAGAAACCGGAAAACGAAGCGGAGAGATTCTTGTACTTTTGAACTCGAGACTCCGAGAATATGATTGACATTGTATTATTTTGGGAAGCAGAATACTGTGATAGGAGGGGTCTCGGACCTTAATGATGTCTCGTAGAAACGTGAGCTGTATGCAAATAATTACGAATTTTATTTTCAGAAAGGCAATGTCAAGTATAAAGACCCTGGAAATCTGAGACAGAGGAGTGACAAGGGCGATGGTGATCTTAAATTTACGAAACGATGTGTTGTTTGATCTTGAGCATAACATAATTCATATTGACAATACATGTTGCGTGGGTAGTTCTGATGTGAGGTTTGTATGAAAGATAGATGGACTACAGGAGTTTCAACTGGAGATCTAGATCCATCTTGAAAAAGGCCGACCAGGTGTTAATAAGGTAAAAACTTGATAGAAGCTAGGTTGACAAAAGAAATTATTTTTTAAGACGCTGAGAAGTCCCTCTTAAAAACGCCATCAGTTTTCACTTCGGTCATCAACGGGACTTGTCATCAAAGAATATGCTCTTACATATGACTAGTGTTTCCGAAAGGCAAGGCAACCTACAGCAGTCAGATAGATTTAAGAATCTGTTGGAATCGATTTGTAAGATGTCTTTTGCCGACAACGATGAGATGGTTTTTCTGAATTGCGATGTTCTAAAGTTTCCGGATTGTGTCTTGCGCCCTCGAAATTTAGAGAATGAGCTCGATGTGGGGATGTTAATCTTATTCATCATCTATTGAGTGGACAAGTGTTTAAAACTCTATCGCGAATTGGGTGCATGTCACTCACTCCACTAAGGAGTATCTACTGAATCTATCAGAGCGATGGTGTGGAACACTCCACGTACAGTCAACCACACCGAGTAGTGCACCCTCATGCAAGGTTCCAACAACATGCAATACTCGCATCTTACACTAATGAATGGGGTCACACAAAATACTCGTTTACAAGCGTCTGGCGCCTCTCGGAACGACTCTGCTCAGCGTGTGCAGTTAGCAACGCGCGCTTTGCACGGTGCAAATGACGAACTGCATCCTCGATACCAGAAATGTTCACCATTTCCTCCACTCCCGTAAAGCAGGCAAGTACTTTCTCAAAACCTGGAATAACACACTCATTTGATTCTATCCCTTTGGTTCCATCTGCACTCGTCTTTTTCATGCTGTGTTGTGGTTGTGTCGGTGCCCTTGCGTGTCACTGGAGTAAGACGGAGAGGATCTGTGGGGTCTGTTGGAAAGAGTGATCCGTTTACTGTTGGGCATCTTCGTCGGCCGCGTCCCCGTCTTGGACAGGTGTCCAACAGCAATGCAAGGTATGATAACCTGTGTTCACCGAAAAACCCCTGCATTACTCACTCGTGGAATTACTCAATTCGGCACTACAGTATGATAGGGCGAGTCCTCTCTGTACCTTGGGCCCGATGATTCCGGCAAGGTCCTGCGGGCCCCAGGCGGCATTCGCGATTGAAGAAAGATGGCCAATTTACTTCATTTTTCTCTGAAAAGAATGCTGCGAAAGCATATTACAGTAAAAGGTACACGTGTGTCCAATAGTATACTGTAAGCGTCGGCGTGCCTAGTTTCGATATGGTGGGAGAGGGGCCAGTTGTCATCTTCGTCTTCCCCCGACCCGTCTCTAACCCCGTCCCTCCTTTCCTCACCCGGTCCAATCCTTCGCGACACTCCCAAAAACGCCACATTCGCACCCTTGAGTTCAACAAACCTCATGGCGCAGCAAGTATCCGCGAAAGCCGTCTCTCAATACCCTCTTCCCCCTCGTCAGTACTACCAATCATGCTCGACAAACCCATCCAGCCCCCCTCCGCCGCCCTCCGAAAACGACTCGTACAGCATGTTTGGCCGCGTGTACACCACGGAAGATCGCATGCCCTCGCTTGAAGAATCTGGCCGCAAGCGTCTGTATGACCCCGCCGCCCCGCCGTGCGCGGAACTGCGCCGCCTCAACAAGGAGCTGCTCAAGCTCTTCATTCAACTCGTCGAGGATTTATGCGAGCCCCTCCCACCCGACGCTCCCGAGCAGCCGCACATTTCCCATGTTCAGGCTATCGAGGATACTATGGTGAACATGCAGCATCTCATAAACTTGATGCGACCGGCGCAGGCGGCCCTTGATTTGAAAACCATTTTGAATCGGCAGACAACGGCGAGGAGAGAAATGACGGAGAAACTGAAGGAGAGCGTGAAGAAATCATGGGATCTTATTGGAGAGGCGGCCGCGAGATTGACAGAGCCTAGTTCTGAGCTATCAGAGCAGACTAAAGCTGTGCTGGCCGGCGAACCGGAACGCCCCAATGCTAAAGTCAATGGCGCGACCGAAGGGCTCGAGAATGGACAGCAGGATGAGAATGCGGACAAAGCAATGCCCATGGCCCAAGTGCTCGCCAAAATCTCAGAGGTGGTTCAAGACACGTCTTTGTAAGTTTGAGACACTCGACGAATTGTGCAGAAACGTTCGCCTTGTGTCTCGTTGATACGCTGCAGGCTGCTGATCTCCCAACGTTTCGAGTAGGACTCCTTCTAAAAGAATTTCGGTTTTCCACGCCAGAGTCTAACTGGCTAGAGGACCTGGCTGGAACCGCCATCCGTAATAAGTCGAACTGGTTAGTTGGATGAACCCCCAAGCTATATACAGTACAGCAAAGGCAAGAGACTAAGCTGCTGATTCGCTTGCTACGACGGAAAAAGCGAACAGCGTACCCAACGGCAAGGCAGGATCCCTCGTGCTCAACGGATGAGCTCGATAACCAGTCATTCTGTTAATCGTTGTGATGGATCCACGGTCGATACTACAAGAAAAGCACGAGACATCCCGATGCATTTCACAACAAGTTTCGCATCACATACGCAGAACCATAGTCATTGCCGCTGCTTGAAAACTCTTGCGAGCTCTCGCACGTCAGCCTTCAGGTCACCGCGTTGGTTTCCTCTTCCCTCCACTGTTCTTCTTAGCCCTCTCCATGGCCGCTCTCTTCCATTGGGCAAACGAAACGGCCTCCTCCTTGACCTTCTCCTCCCTGACCTCTCTAACCCCTTCCTGCACAAGGACCGCACGCTCCTCCCCGCTCCCCGCAAAAAATCTTTTCAGCAGGATGGCTGCGGCTGCGCCATCGATCAAAAACGGTATCTCCTCCTTCGAAACGCCCTCATCCCTGAGCGCCTCCTTCGCTTCTTGTGTGGTGTACCGTTCGTCCAGCGTCACGATCTTCGCCCATGGCGCGGCGAGGATCAATTTATCTAGAAAGAGGCGTGTGGCGTGTACTTGCTCACCCTCGGCACCCTTTGAGTCGACGGGCATACCGACGACGATGGTTTCCGACACAGTGCCGGATGCGGCGCGCGCGACAGCGGCAGCGGCACCAGTAGGGTCCGCCTTGTGCTCGATACGGGGGAGGGTGCGTGGGGCCACACCCACTGAGACGGCTAGCCCGATGCGTCGCAGGCCGTAGTCGACGCCGAGTGCTCGCGAGCCGATGCGCGCCGTGGGCATGCAGCTGGGACGTGGATTGCGGAGCGGCAGACGGTGGCGAGGGTGTGATGGGTGGAGAGGGAAGGGGGGCAGGAATGATGGATACATGGCGGCAGAGTTGGTTACATGGGGAAGGAGACCGGGGGTTGTCACCCCGGCGAGAGGAGGGGTGGACAACGCCGAGGTGGTCACTTCACTCGATGGGAAACACGAATTTGCTGCGATGGCGGCGGCTTATTGGACATGTTCCAAATTTGCTCCGTACAGTGCCTGTAGCTGTTTTCTTTACTGACTTCTAGCTAGATCGCCTGCCATGGCGTAAACCTGAACCCGTCCTGCATCTCCCAACCGAGCCCCGTCATGGCCTTGCGAGCACCGCGTGGCGCGCCAGCCTTCAACGCCTCGTTCGGTCTTCCCTCCCGACCGTCGCTGTTGGGTGCTCGCGCCCTGTCCTTGCGCGCCAGCTCGGGCGCCCGTGGCACCACGATGACGGCCTTTCGCAAATATCACGGCATCGGTAACGACTTTGTCGTGGTCGACAACCGAGCGCAAAAGAACCCGCTGTACACGCCGGATCAGTCCGTCGCTATCTGCGATCGTAACACGGGCGTCGGCGCGGACGGCGTCATATTCCTCCTACCGCCGAAGAGGCGATCCTCCGACTTTGCCATGCGTCTGTACAATTCGGACGGCACCGAGCCGGAGATGTGCGGCAATGGCATACGGTGCCTGGCCAAGTTTGCAGATGATCTGAAGATACCCACTGCTAGTCCGGGGAGGTTTGTGATTGACACGGGTGCAGGCGTCATCATTCCGGAGATCGAGCAGGGGAGCTCCGAAGTCAAAGTTGACATGGGTGAGCCCGTTATCATCCCGGGCGAGGTCCCGACCACGCTGGATACATCCGAAAGCGCGGGGTATGAGGCTGTATTGAACGTTGATGGTACGGATTGGACGTTTTCGTGCGTGTCGATGGGCAATCCACACGCCATTTCGTTTGTCAGTAAGGAGGTCTTCCTGGAGATGGACACCAAGCTGGAGGAAGTTGGCCCGAGCTTCGAGTGCAACCCCGTGTTTCCGCAGAAGACAAATACCGAGTGGGCCTTCCAGAGGTGTCGCACAGAGTTTGATATGCTGGTGTGGGAACGGGGGGCGGGTAGAACAATGGCCTGTGGGACGGGCGCGTGTGCTGTCTTGGTGGCTGCCGTATTGACCGGACGCGCGGATAAGGATCAACCGACTGTGATTCATCTGCCAGGGGGCGATTTAACTATTGAGTGGGTGTCGAAGACTAACCATATCATGATGACGGGCCCTGCCGAACTCGTCTTTGAGGGGCACTTTCCGAAGGTGTGAGACTGACTTTCCTTTAGAAACTCGCGTCGTCTTTGCCGTAGATTACCGGGGTGATTAACTTTGGTGGTCTAATGCAACCTGAAGACAATCGGTTTGTACCTATTGTAGATCTGATGCATATCAATAAAGTCGATCGTTGTCCCCACACACGCTTTCGTACTTTTTCTGTACACTGTACAGTACACTAGAGCTGGACGCTACTGATCGTAGCTACTCCTCTCCTGCAGATTTTGCGAGCATACTCAGTCTATGTATCCGTCAAGAGCGGCCGCCACGCTGTATATGTTTTCCTCCTTGTAGTAATCAAACTCTTTGTCAAAGCAAACGATGTTGTCTCCGTCTTTGGCGCCCTTGTCAATGAGCATTTGGTTCACACCTAGTGCCGCCAGGATCCTCTGGAATCGATCAATCCCTTCAACGTAGTCCCAATTCGTCATCGTGTAAGCCTTCTCAACTTTATAGCCACTCACGACAAACCGTCCCTCCTTCTCCTTTTCGACTTGGACTGGAACCTTTCCGAAACCCTCTTCCTCTCCTAGGACAATGACATGATCTTCTTGTTCAACGTTGTCCACAAGCACACTCAACCGCCGCATTGTCTCCAGCAGGCCTTCTCGAGACTTGGCACTAACCAAGGCAATTCGTTTGTGGCTGCCTATAGTTTCCACCAGCTCGTCTCTGATATACGAATCCCATTTTTCTCTCACACCTGGCAGGTCTACTTTATTGACGAGAACGACTTCCTTTTTACGGGCAAGTCGCTCGTCGAAGAGTTCCATTTCCAGTCGAATTGCCTTATAGCGTTGGATGATATCGTCACTGCTTCCGTCAACAATGTGGACCACCACCTTGCATCGTTCGACATGGCGAAGGAACGAAACACCCATCCCTACTCCCCGATGGGCTCCTTCAATAATACCTGGTACATCAGCTATAACCATGCCCTCAATACCATCAACACCGTCAACAACTCCCAGGTTGGGTACAATTGTGGTGAAGGGATAGTCGGCAATTTTCGGTCTTGCATTCGACACCGCGTCCAGGACAGTGCTTTTCCCAGCATTCGGAAACCCAACTAACGCGACGTCTGCGACAAGTTTCAGCTCCATTTGGAGCCATCGTTCAACCCCTGGTTCGCCCTGCTCGCAAACCCTCGGTGCGCGGTTTCTCTCAGTCTTGAAGGCCTCGTTTCCCCTTCCGCCGCGTCCTCCTGTGGCAGCCCGAAACGTCTGTCCTTCTTCGGACAAATCAGCCAGAATGCGTCCATCCGAATTGCGAATAACAGTCCCCAATGGAACGGCGACGGTCATGTCCTTCGCGCAATGGCCTGTGCGACCTTTCCCGGTACCGTTCAATCCATCTACAGCGCGAAAGGCGGCCCCTCCGCGGAATTTGGCAAGCGTGTTGGCACCGCCAGTTGCGACAAAATTGACTGAACCACCCGAACCACCTGAGCCGCCAGCTGGCCCGCCCTTCGGAATTCCTTTCTCTCGGCGAAAGGCGAGGCAGCCGTCGCCGCCTGTACCGCCTTTGACAAGAACGCGGGCAACATCGTAGAACATCCAGTCCGGATTGTTTGTCGTTGGTCGCAAATGCGCCTTGGACTTGTCCACGTCTTGTGTCTTCGCTGCTGACGTAATAACGCGTCCACCCTTACGTGGACGCCGTGTGGATATACCAGGACGCGTAGCAAGGATGCTTGTGGAAACCGGTTTGCAAAATTTGGAGCATGACGAGAATTGGAGGGGGGCCGTGAAGGCTGCGTTGCTCATCTGCCGGTAGTAGAGGCTGTTGACCAGCAAACACAGCAGATAAAACGTTTGCAGCAATGAAACTTGTCGTGAGCTCCGGTAACGTAGAACTGTTTGCTCAATGCACTTGCTGCTCTTGTCGTCAACACTACAAACAAGTCTGACGGAACGATTGGAATGCCGCAACAAGAGAGACTTCTATTGTTGCTCTTTGTGAAGTGCCTGTATACTGCTGCGGTTCCTTCTCACATGCGGCTGTCCTATCGGTGCACGCCGAGATCATCTCCAAAATGCCCACAAAAAAAGACTGCGGAGAACGGCCCGAAAATTCTAAATATTTTCCTTGTTTCTTTTTCTTGTTCCTGATATATTATACTGTACACGAGCCGACTTTTTTTTGTTATCCTACCCTTCTTTAGTTAAGAGTAACAATAATACCTTCTCCAAGAGACCAGCGTCTGTCAACAGGTTCGCATGGGAAACGAGGGGCAACTTGATGTCACATCTGACGACATTTCTCCCAACACTCCGCGTACTGGCCTTCGTTTCATTTTCTGTGAGTTGTACCCTGTCTGGAGGCCTCTTTTCTGGCAACAGGACTTCCTTTTTTAAGCCTCAGCATGAAATGTTTCCCGCGTGAAAGCCCTGGTCCATGCTTGACCTTCTCCCTATATATAGTTAAGGCATGGACGCTATGGCGCTGATTTATCATCATTCCGCACTTCTATGGACCCAGACATCATCACCCTACTCTTCCCGAAGGTCTCAGAGAATTCAAGTGGAGAAGCTTCAGCTCAAGAGCCCGTGATGATGTCGCAATGTGAAAAGTACTATTGCCGGAGTTGTCGCTACAAGTTTTTCTTACACTGTCCAGTTCACAGTGTCTTTTCTCACAACACCTGCAGTGATACTGAGACTTATTACATATTCAAGGATTGCCGACAGCATCAAGCCCTTGAAAAAAATTCAATGGTCAGGAAATGGTTGGACAATGAAAAGAAGACAAAAAATCGATCGTTGTCTGAGGAAGACACTTCTTTCTCACTAACAGAATTAACATTGCCATAGATAAAATTGACGAGAACTTTTTCTTCTGAATTTCGTTTATTTGCACTCTTGATGTTCGAAGGCAAAGAAAAGCCACATATTTTAAACTCGTATGATCCTGAAAAAGTCCCATCTTGCTTTGAGTTCCAAGTAGCCCCTAACTTTAAAATTCATCGATTTAGTAAACGTCGTCAGAATTCAACTGCTCAAAGGATACATGAGGCTTTCATAGTATAGGCAAATACAGTTTTTTCCTCAAAAGGCTCGAGTAGAGTATGAAAACTTTATACTAGAAAACAAGAGACATTGCACGCACTTATTCTTGAACTCCACATTTTCTTTTCCAAATTTCAGATGCAAATAGGATATGATACGTTCTTTTCCAGGAATAGATGTAAACAACTTGTTAAAAAATCCCATCAGTCATTCTATCTGCTTCCTGATTTATTCACACTATTTCAGCGATGTCATGGGGGATGTTTTTCACACCGGATAGTGAAGAGGTTGCAAGAATTTCATTATCTGTACGAGATCTTGTTTGCGAGGAATGCATTACGCAGTCGGATGATTTTGAGGTTAGGTTACAATTCACAAGGGCAGCCCACAAAGTTATACACCTGGGCATTAATGCATTAGAGACTCTCTATTTCTATTAGAGAGAATGGTTGCGAGACCTGCGGCTTGATGTCAAGCTTGTCAACAACCTCTGCTTCACGTCTGATGCTGTGACATACTGTACATATATATATAAAATACTGTACCCTTGGGTACTGTAAAATGTATAATTTACTGCTGTACAGCATCCGAAAGTTGCCAGCTCCAAAATAGGGTCACCGGCGGCGCATGTCGACTGGGCATCACGGCCAAGTTAATCTTCAGACACATCACGCAGCTCTACGCGTATGCCTGTGAAGCCAGTTTTCACAAGCCTTCTATCTTTGTAAGGTGAATTCCAGAATGGTAGATGACCCGCTTCGGGCACTTCTCCGCGGATGTCATGGCGCTGCAGTAGCAAGTTGGAAATCGAAGTCAGCCGCATCCGCCAGGGCTGAGCTTATACGAACGCCGTCCTCAGCAGCGCTCTCTCGCGAGCTTGACTTCTTCGGGACTTCCTCGAAGAGACTGGAAGTCACGGACAAAGCTCAATCCAGTTCACCAGGGCGAAACAATGTCAAATCTGTCGCGCCCACGTCCGCTGACATGTCTGCAGCTGTGGCCAGTCCCACCTTGGAAGCTGCTCTAGCTCACATGGGTATTGTGTCTCCCACAGCCGTACAACGCCGTGCGATTCCCGCCATGCGTGCCGGTAACGATGTGGTGGCGGTGGCGCCTACAGGGTCTGGTAAGACGCTTGCTTATGCCGTTCCTTTACTTTCAGAGTTACTGTCCGGGAGTCGGGCGCAACATCGTTCAGCCCCACATGCGTTGGTGCTAGCCCCAACAAGAGAGCTTGCAGAGCAGATTGGTCGCGTTTTTACGAGGCTTTCTTCAGAGGCACGGGTGAATGCGCGGATAAAGATTGTTTGCTCGAAGGCCGCTGCTGCCGGCCTCAAGGCTGCTGATGGGTTAATTGATATTGTGATTGCGACCCCAATGAGGCTTGTGGCCACCCACCAAGCTGGTGCAATTAACCTTGGGCGCGTGGCCCATGTCGTTCTGGACGAGGCAGACGAGCTTTTCGCAGGAAATTTTCTCGAGCAAGTTGATGACGTCTTAGCTTCATGTGGATCACAACTTAAGGATGGAACGAGGGTGCATATGTTTTCAGCCACTTTTCCTCCCGCAATAGAAACGTTGGCACAAGGGCTGTTGAAGAAACAAAAGAAGATCGTTATTGACGGTGGGGCTTATGGAGGTTCTGCTGCCGTTGGAGGGGTTGCGGCGAGGATCGAACAAAAGTTTATGTTTGTCGGTGGTAGGGGAGAACAAGGGAAGGTCATGGCCGTGCGGGGTTTGCTCAAAGAGGGCTTGAGAGCGCCGATACTTTTGTTCGTGCAAACGAAGGACCGAGCTGCTGAGTTGTACCGAGAATTGGTTTATGATGGAGTGAAAGTAGAAGCAATTCATGCTGACCGAAGCCAACAAGCCCGCATGCGCGCCGTAGAGCGATTTCGAACAGGCGAAGTGTGGGTTCTAATCGCAACAGACGTATTGGCACGCGGGTTGGATTTTCTAGCGGTAGAGAGTGTGGTGAACTACGACATGCCGAGTAGCGCATCGGCATACGTGCATAGAATCGGAAGAACAGGGAGGAACGGGCGAAAAGGGACGGCAGTGACGCTGTTCACTGAGGAAGATCGAGTACTGCTAGGTCCTGTTCTGAAAGTGGCAAAGGTGAGTGGAGCAGACGTGCCAGAGTGGGCGTTGAAACTGAAAGGCGTGAGAAAAGATGTGGTGAGGAGAATGGAGAAGAGACCACCAACGCGGAAGCGAATTGGGGGACCTAATCGTGGAAGCATTGGAAAACGACACAAAAAGGAAAAGAGGTTGGAGTCGAGGAGTCGGACTGAGAAGGGTGAAGCAGATAGCGAATCGACAAGTGACGGGAAGAAAAGAAATTCAGCGACAAAGGGAAAACAGACGAGGAGGAAGAAAAGGGGTGCAAGCGATGGTCTTAACGTTGCTACCAGTCTTGAAGAAGAAGAGTATGAATGAGGGCACGAGAGACGGCTTTGGACAAGACCTTGGTGATGAACATAGAATTGAGTCTATTGTGGCTTCTAGTCTGGCATCTTCATCTGTTCGGCTGGTGTTGAGAGTGTTTCCAGCAGAGGATACGTGACTCCTTGACAGTTTGACATGGGGTGATTTGACTCTTGCTGACGTGAAGTTACTGTGCCAACTCTTACACGTGGGCATGGAGTTCTCATCTTGGCATATTCCACTTCTATGCCTCATGGAAGGTGTATCCTCTGGCACGTGACCAAGTTGGTTTTATGCCTTATACCTTGCAAGTGCATGCCTCATATTCTATCTCACGGCCCTGAGGGCCGTTCCGAACGAAGAGTTCGCGGTGCCAGCACCCGAGCACCCTGGCATTTGGCATGACTGGATTGGTTGAATGGGAGGAAAGCATTTCCAATATTTTTTATAACCAATCCATTGTTGACGGGCCTCATACACTTTAACTTAACAAGCGCCATTTTTGCCGCAACAACCCAAAACAGCGTTGGCAGGTGTCGCCCAGAAATTTAAGTTAACATCACGAGGCGTGCGTTGACGTTTTCTGAAAAGGCGCCAGTGATGTGCTGGTCGTTCAATCTGAGCTGTCAAGAATAGTGGAAAGACCACCGAGATTTGATTGTGTGCCATACTGTTCTGTTTTTCGTCTTCGACCTCACTACTTCCACGCAGCACCGCTGTTCTGCATGACTACTTTTCCCGATCTGTCGAGCCGTAATTAATATTTTGAAACGCCTGTAACTGAGTAGAGCACCGGCATAGATGCACGGAACTTTAAAGCGTGCAATTAGGGACGATCTCTGGCTTACAAAAGCGACTCAAGCGAGGAACTATGCCCTGATCCCTGCCCTCATGAACAGCCCAATCATATGCGTGTCGCCACATCTGACTAGAGGCCCAAACTCACTTCGCGTCACATGAAATTCTACTAGCGGCGACCTGGACATATGGTAGAAACTGGCGATAAGCGTTATCTAGCCTACTGCAGTCCTGCTCGCGCCGCAATTTGCGCTCTTGCCTGAGGACCGATTTATGGGACAAGGTCCTCGCCCTTCTAGATTTGTTCGGGCAATTGTTCGGGCGTCTTCTCACAGCTTTTAGTCGCACCTCACTCCCCACGGGTCCTGCGAAATGACGGGGGCCATCATTTGCGATACATTTCCTGCCTGCTTCAGGTAGGAATAGTCCCCTTTGCCGGCCGAAGCCTCATGCTTCATTGCCTTTCGCTGTGAAGGAATTCTTTCCACGCTTTTATGCGAAATACAGTACTGTACGTTTCGCCACCATCCTGCATGTTGCAACCATTTGTGTCTTTCCCTCTGTAACGCCCGTTATTTCAACCCAGTCTTCTCTACTTTATAACTGTTACTTTACATCCAAAGCACATCCTGCCCTTTCATAAACCCCTGTCTCGGACCCCACAACTTCATCCAAAGATGGACATCCACACTCGTGCCCCAGATTCGCCGTCACCCACCTCGCCAAGCCCTGCCTTTCTTGCATCTACAACCCCCTCCTCGAGCGACCTAACTACCCGCCGCTGGTACGTCCAGGTCCCAGCATGCTGTCTACTTCAAATCACCTTCGGCCTCTTCTACGCCTCAGGCGTCTTCATTGCAGAGATTGACAGCCCTTTGTTCACTTTTTCCATCGGTGTCGCCGGTTTTTCCATTGCCGTCGGAATCACTTTCTTCGGTGTCCTCATGAACAGACTCATCCCCACTTCCCACTCCGTTCTCGCCCCGGTGTATATCGCCGTTATTGGCGCCTTGGCCTTGTTTGCTCAAGTCCTCATGCCGCACGCTGTTGCTTCAGACAACTCTGTTTTGCTTCTCGCCTCCGCCGTTGCCGTCGGTCTGGGATCTGGCGCAATCTATCTCGCGTCGGTCGATGTTTTACAGTCTTGGGTACCGGAAGCACCAGGCGTCATTATGGGCATAGGAATGCTGTGCGGCGGAGTTGGTTCCTTGATTGGAATTCGCGTTGATATTGTATTGACACAACTCCTAGGCGGTCCCCTCCCGGCATTGGGTGTCTCCGGTGCTATTGCGGGCGTGGTTGCTCTTGCCTCCGCAGTACTAGTACGTCGGCCCCCACCAGACTGGACTCCTACGTCCAGCGTGACTGCGAGTGGTGCGCCTGTCATGGATGAGGAATGTGGGACAGTGAGTTTGCATTCTGACAGCGAACTTGCAGCTTTGCTGCCCCTGTCGACGTTGGAGCTTATGCGAAATTGCCCTCAGCTCACGGTTAAAGACATCCTCACGGATCGATCGTTTTACTTGCTCTTGGTCGCGTTTGCAGCTACAGTTGGGCCCGGCTTTGGCTTTGTGCTTGCTTTTCAGAAAATGGCATACACTCTGTTTGGAGTCTCCATGGCAGAGGCGAATCGGCTTTACTTTTCGGTCACTTTTGCCGGTGTTGCAGGAAGGTTGGTTACTGGCTGGACTGTGGACAAGCTTCAGAGTTTGGACTCGAGAGATGAGGATTCCTTGTACGGTGCAAGGAAAACAAATATGATATTGCTAGTTGGCCAAACCATCGCGCTGCTTGCAATTCCAGTATCAATACACAATGGCCATGTCGGAGCATTCACGGTCGCCTCTGCAGCGGTGTACGTCACGTTCAGTGGGGGCGTCGTTGTGGCGGCCTGCATGGTGCGCGGTATTTACATGCCAAGAAACGCTAGTTTGGGGTTTTCTCTTGTGGCTGTCAGCATCGGGTTTGGCGACGTATTCTTTTCATGGATCGTGGCTTGGTGCGGAGACCTATCGGATGTTGAAAAAAGCTATGCTTCTGCCATCTCTCCCGGGGTGACTTCAGAGGCCCATCAAGGAGATTACAACATCTTTCTGCTTTTTGGGCTTCTGTGGTCGCTATGCGGATTGGCGGCATCGCTGTGCATCGAAGTTTCTCCAACATTAATGGCCCATGGCGATGGCGAGACGGCGTCTGGATATGACTCTTGCGATTGAGTGAATAGATGAACTGAGGAAACAAAGGACTGATGGAATGCCCAACAAAACCCTGTATAAGCACTTGAGCCTAGTGAAAGGTGGTGATCTGTCAGCTGATTCGCTCCATTTGTTCGCAAGTGAGAAAAAATAATTTGGGATCACTTCTGGGTTGCAGGCAAAGACAAGCTAGGATTGCGACGAGAACAAATACCGACACGTCATTAGATGCCCAACTGCTTCCAGTGGTATGTCTCTTCGTGCACCACGACTCAAGCCAGGAGCATCCTCCTGTGAACTGGGACATATTCAAAGGAGTTTTCTGCTCCCCATGGCAACGATACTGCCACTGCTCCACATACTCGCCATCGATTGGCAGGGTGCCTTTCCATGAATTTGACGTGCTCAGAACCCCAATTGGCCTCCAACTTGATTTGCTATGTGCTCAAGTCCACTTCCCTGTAACAAACTAGTTGCCGTCGTTGCGATGACGTTAACTCTTAGTTCATTCCTTAGCTGAGAAATTACCTGTTCCACAGCAATTGATATTACTTGCCGAGTTTTCAGCGTCTGAAACACCAGTACGAGTTTGGTAGGTATCTGTTCAAGCTCGTCAACATTGTTCTTAACTACTAGAACACTCCTAACATGGTCACTTTCTTCTATGCTAGAAATGGCCTTGGCAGTGTCTAGTAGTGGTTTCGATAAACTCTCCTTAATATTTTCGAGCCCTTCAAGTATGGACAGCAAAGTCGCCGACGGTCTGAGAAAGAGGGTTTTAAACCCTGTAGGCATGAAGAATTCGCGGAGTTCCCGACCTATTCTAGGAATGTTGGCTTCTAGTCGTCGTGCCGTTTCAAGAATACTCGTTAATCGATGTAGCACAACGGAGAGAAAGTCTCTCAAGTTTGCAATCAATGAAGAAATCAAGTCGCTCGACTCGCGCAGCCTTGCAACAGAGACTTCCAGCTCTTGCTTTAAATCTCCCATTTTCTCGAACAGGCATGAAATTTCTGTGATTTGACAGACAGGATCGGAATTCATTTGCCCCTTTAGACTTCGTGGCGATTCCGAGGTTGACTTGATCCCCGTCTTCATCATCATGCTCAGCTGGGAGACCACGTCGTTAATCTGTCCGTTCATTTCGAGAAGCTCGAGAATGGGTTCGGCTGCGGGTCGTAGAGTATCAAAACGGTCCTGGATTTCTTGCATTCCACCTGAGAGTTGTTCAAGTGCCTTTGCAGTCGCAAGATAGTCATCAGTAATTGATTCAAAAGAACTGGTAACGTTGACGACTACATCCATAGCCGATTCTGGAACCATTGGCATGGATCGCTCGCTCTGTTTCAGGTTAGGGTCATTCTGATTTAGATTTTCAACACAATAGTAGCGCTTCTTGAACCGTGAGATAAGGACTGGGTCAACCGGCATATCGCCGCATGGTACGCGGGGAAATATCACTCGAGGATCTTGAACAACTTCTTGCAAGGAACTGACCAGCTCTGTTATGTAGAAAGAAATAGGAACATATTGAGAAAAGCATATGTCTTTGCAGAGAGCAGAAATCGTTTCTGACAGTGAATCTGGAAGCGCCTGTACAGCCGCAAGAATGTCCCTCAGTTGCTCGATTCCTTCCTCACTAATGGCTTTAATTTCAGAAACAGTGCTTGCTATTTCGTCATTGACTGTCTCGAAGAGCTTCGCGTTGGCCTTGTCAATGATGAGCTCCAGACCCGGTACGCCGATATTCCCGAGCTCTTTAGCAAGGGCGGTATACGTAGCAGTAAGTTGCTCTAGTGGGGGTGTTTCTGCTGACATGGCTGGCGAGAGAGAGGTATATGGCAGACATTCGATGATGGCTTAAATTGCGATGTAGAGACAGAGCAGACTGCTTCTTCTAAAACTGTAATAGTGTTGTGAAAAAATGTGAATCGTCACGAACACTACAAATAAGAGTTGCCCTGCCCCTGGGATATGTGACTGTGTCGATCCTCTGTAAAGAATGCTATACAAGGAGAACTCTTGTGCATAGCAAAAGTAACCTCATATTGCTGTGCACTAAATGATTCGATGGTGCATGCAGAAGCAGAAGACTTCGTGGAAGAAAGGAGTGGCTCAGGTGCAAAATCAAGAGAGCAAATTACCCGGCGTAGTCATGTATCATTTCGAACGGTAAAATTCATTTCAACACAGGAACAAAAACGGAATAGTGCGTTTTCCTTTTAAACCATTACTGTACATTCGTTCATTGCAAAGTCAGCAGTCTTCATGTTTTTTCCACTTTCATCATTTTTCTTACAACATTGATGGCAACAGCGCTGGCTTGCACAAGGACGGCGTGCTTGACCAAATGTGGAGCTTCAATGCTCGTCTTCCTGACGGGCAGTTCAGAAATTGCGTGAGACCAAAACAACGGGGAAAGAAACTGCACTTAGGACAACAAGAACTACTGACGCGCGATGCTCTCAAAACATGTAGAGCATAATCAGATGTACTGCTATGACTATGGTCGCATGTCGATGGAGCATAAAAGTAAGACTACACAACGGTGCGAGATGCTCTGCATCGGTAGCGTAACTCTATGTATACATCTCTCCTCTTTATTAGTGGATCAGCGCGAAATTGTAGATGAACTATCCCAAAATAATCTTGGTATCTTCTTCTTCAAACCTGTAAGTCGGGACGTCAAGGTTCAAGGGGGCTGGCCCCTTGCGAATGCGCCCCGAAATGTCGTAATGCGATCCATGGCAAGGGCAGAACCAGCCGTGGTAATCGCCCGCATTGGCAATAGGCACACAGCCAAGATGGGTACATACTCCCACGACGACGAGCCACTCTGGCTTTTGCACACGTGACAAATCAGTCTCCGGATGACGCAGAACGACGTCATCATCCTTCTTGGCAAGCTCGATCTCTGCGTCCGTGCGATGGCGAATGAAGACGGGCTTGCCGCGCCACTTAATCGTGGCCGACTCTCCCAGTGGAATGGCGCCTAACTCGACTTCGACCGAGCCCATTGCGAGGACGTCTGCGGAGGCGGACATGGTGTAGATGAGCTTAAGGACGAGGACGCGGGCGGCGGAGGCGGCGATGAATTTGGTAGTGCCGAGGACCATGTAGGTGAAGGCGCGCTTGGTGGGATCGCCGGGCATGTAGCGATGGGGGTGGTTGTGGTAGTCATCGATGTAACCGACGGGCAGGGCGCCGGGGCCGCGCGGTGACACGAGCTCGGTGGAGGTGGAGGCCGCGCCGAGAGTGCCCGCGTTGGCGACGGTGGGGGGGGATGTGGCGACGGCGCGCAGACCTTGCGATGGGAGGGATCGAGCGTTGAAGGAGGAGGAGTGGGAGGCTAGGCGGCGGGCGGCGCCGCCCCAGCGGGTGAGAAAGGACATCGCGGGGGGAGTACGGGGGATGGACGGGGGAGGGATGCGGTAGGATTGGAGTGGGAGGTGGCAATGACGGGCAGGCGAAAGAGATGGCAATTGGCGATCGGAGAGGAATGTGGACAATGCGGCAGCTCGATTGCCGTTGCGCCAATTGTGGCCGCAGTCCTCACATTTGCCCCTTAATTACACTAATTCGTCTAGACACTAACAAATTTCCCACACCTCCTTTTTAATTTCTCCGTCCTTCTACTCGCCTCACTTTTCCCACTTTTCAGAGGCTCTCAGACTCCTTTAGCATCTCGTGCATCCCCGCAAGCCGCAGCATCAGCGTTTGGTAGAGCGGTGCAACTTCTAACAATCAAAACAGCTCCTGTTCTACCATGCCGCAGTCCTCTCTTTTTTCTCCTCCAATTTTCCTTCCTTCTCTCGCTCGTTCTTCCTCCCTCTGCCGCTTCTATGTCAAACCATCTTACATTGTTTTTTGCCTTTCAATATCGCTTCTATACGACTTTGACACAGTTCTGGCGAGTTCCTCAGACAGATGCTTTTGCGGAGAAGGCATCGAAAAATTTCCTTGTCCAAGGTTCTCTAACGCAGGGATGTGCACATCCAAGCTCTTGCGCCGTATCGAAAAGATATCCGTTACCAGCCAACACTCCCCCTTTCTATTGCTTTTTTGGCAACGCCTTCAACTTTTCTTGCAACTGCGGCACGGCGTCAAACAAATCTGCAACCAACCCATAATCCGCCACCTGAAAGATTGGCGCCTCCTCGTCCTTATTAATAGCGACGATGACCTTGGAGTCCTTCATGCCAGCCAGATGCTGAATCGCACCTGAGATCCCAACTCCAATGTACAGCTCCGGCGCGACGACCTTCCCCGTCTGCCCCACTTGCATATCGTTAGCCACCCACCCCAGATCCACTGCGGCGCGCGTTGCCCCAACAGCGCCGCCCAGCTCATCCGCAATCTCCTCCAGCAGCTTAAAATTGTCCCCGCTCTTCAGCCCCCTGCCACCAGCCACCACCACCCCAGCCGCGGTCAAGTCCGGGCGGCTGCTCTCGGTGCGGTCCTCTCCGACCCACCTTGACTGCCCACCCCCCGCCTCCTCCGGTGCCGCCAGGCTCGAAACCTCCGCCAGCCCCTCGGAGCGCTCCGCGACGGGCTCGAAAGCCGTAGGGCGCACCGTGAGCAGGATCGTGCTCTCCTTTGACCGCACCGTCGCCAGCGCGTTCCCCGCGTAAATCGGGCGCACAAACACCTCGCCCCCCCCGTCCTCCTTCACCTCGATGACGTCCGACACCGTGGACACGCCTAGCACTCCGGCCACGCGCGGCAGCACGTTCTTGCCGAACGTCGTCGATGCCGCCACGACGTGCCGGTACGCGCCACTCCCCAGCTGCGCCTGCACGATCGGCGCCGCGTACTCCGCCGTCAGCGGCTGGTCCGCGCCGCCAACGATCACGGACGACACGCCCTCCCATGCAGCCGCCGCATTGGCGTCGGCTGAGGACGACCGCCCGAGAAGTAATACGTCGACTGCGGAAGACGAAGCGCAGGCCTGCGCGGCGCGCACGGCGCTGCGCACGGCGACCGTCGCCCCGTCGGCGACCACGAGCGCGGCGGCGGAAGCGCGTCCGGCAGCGGCGCTCATCGTGACGTAGAGATGTTGTCGAAAGGGGTCGCGGGATTGAGACGACTATTCGCTTTCGCAGCGTGAAGCAGCGGAGGAGCACATGAAATCGTTCAGTCGCCATTGGATGTAGAGTCGGTACGTGTATGGTTGATGCAATCATAATTGGGCCGCTTTTTGATCCCGCCGCGGGGACACCGTGCGAGATGACCCGCAGCAGGAGAAAAGATCAAAGTCTTACTCGCTTCGTCTAGCTCGTTGGGGACGGGGAGCTCGTGATAGATACCGCTCGCGTCTTTGACTCTCAAAGGAACAAATGGCGTTACGCTCGCCCGCATTCGCAGCTCCCATCCTCGTCTCCAAGCGGCCGCGCAGCCTCTCCGTCTCCACGGGTTCCTTCTTGCGCCGTTTGTGCCTCTGCAAACGCTATCGCCATGCGCTCCGCCTGGCTCCCAACTCTCTCCACGCCACCCACACCCTGCGAATGTCCGCCGACGACTCGATCGTCCGCTCCGCCCCGGACAACAAGGGCCACGTGGACGCGCCCGACTTCATCCCAGCGGGCGCCTTTACCATCTGCCTGAAAGTCAAGACGCGCCAAGCCGTCTCCGTCGCGGATGCCAAGGCCGTGCTAGCAGAGTATGCGCGCTCGACCTGCTCGGAGCCCGGCGTGCTGCGGTGCGATGTGCTATACCAGGTCACGTCCCTGGGGACGCCGAAGGGCCGCTTTTATCACATCTGGATCGCGTTTGAACACGCTGCCGCGTACACGGCCCATGAGAAGACCACCCACGCTGCCAGGTTAAGGCTGTTGCTGGAGAACCCGGCAGGGGGGGATTGTGCTGTGGCGCTGACCAAGCTGTCGTACCAGTCGAGCATTCTCGAGGCGCTGCGGCCGTCGGCGGAGGGATGGCGGTCGGGCATTGATTACAACGTCGAGACGGATGATGAGAGGAATCAGAGGATGGCAGACGCCACTATGAATTTGATACGAGGGGATAGTCCTACGGTGTCGGACAACATGCGCAAGTCGTTGGACGTGCTTGTCTCCAGTGTGGGGCTTGAAAACGTCACCGTACTTGTCGCGTCCGCTACGGCCGTGTCGAGTGATGCCGTCCCGTCATTGACGGGAATTTGCGAGCAATACGCCGAAGACCTGGAAAAGAGCATCAGCGTTGTTCGCACGGGAATTCTGGCGGAGCGAAACAACGCTCGAAGAATCGTCGTTATCACAGTGCATGATTCTAAGCGCGAGGACGGCGCTTTCTTTGACACTGACATGGCTGCAGACCTCATCGATGACGATGGATGGTCCGTCAGCCGTTACTTTCCTGTTTTTCCAGATAAGATTGGATGGGAAAAGCCGTCAACCCTGCTCGACCAGGAAGAGGAGCCAGCGGGAGATGAAGCTTTAAGCTTTCTAGGACCAGTTGGAGAGGCGCCGGAAGGTGTCCTTATAACTGCGCCTTCCTCTGCGCCTTTGTCCATACCGACCTCAGATTGCCGGCTTTTGCAAGGTGCAGGAGCTTTTGACGAGTTGAAGAAAGTCATTAGAGAAATAACGGGCAAGGAAGACGGCGAAATTAAGTCCATGATCATCTGTGGTTGGAATGCTGGAAGGGTGCAACCCTTGCTTGTTCAACTGCAACTGGTAAAGGAAAAAGACCCTGGCGTTATCTCGTTCAAGTTTGGCCTGTCTGTAGAGGATTGCGATGCAAGCATTGAACGATTGAAGAAGGGAACTGCGTTTATCAAGGAGCATGAGCCTGATGTGATACTTGGGTATGGAGGGGGGGCTGTCATGGATATGACGAAGGCGCTCGGACTCCTCGGCAACGCCTCCTTTGATGAAATAGACGAATCTGTGCGCCAAATTAATGCCGCTGCTGATACTTGTATGCCAAGGGTACGCGTCAGTGTCTCTACAAGGCCTATCCCTGTCGTGCTGATACCGACCACGATCGGTGCTGGGGCAGAAATGACAGATTTGTGTGTTTTCAAAGCGAATTTGGCCACAGGTGCCCCTCGGAGGATATGTGTAGACTTTGGAAGTGAAAACAACGTTTTAAGGATTGCAAATGACAGAGTGATACTCAGTGATTCCCGCCTCATTGGCCCTCGGATCTTGTACGGAATTCACGCAGCACATGGAGCACTCATGCTTATTTGCAGAGGCATTGATGTTCTCCTGTCTTTGTATGACCAAGCAGGCCATCAAGGAGTCAAACAAGCGGAAGAAGCTGTAGCAGGTACATCTGAAGTTCTGATGGATATATATCGCGAACCAAGAAAAGCAAGCGGGCAGACGAGAGACCCGCTCGCATATGCACAGACGAAAGTGGGTCTAGCCGCAGACTGCGCTGGGAAACTTGGCCTAGTGGCGAAGTTATCGCTAGCTGCCGTAGACGAAATAATCGATGAGTTGTACCCCCGTTGCTTCCGCGCAATATTTATTCGAGTTACGGCGGCCCTCTTGACGAAGATCATCTCGTTGGAAAAAGACGAAGCATGTCGCATATTTGCTGATCACGTGGCAAAAGCGATGCTTGTTCAAACACCTCAGCAGGCTGTGCAGAGGCTTTTGAGAAGGGCCGAGGATGTTGATGTTCCCCTTTTACCGAGGTTGGGGCTCCTTCATAGGACTGTGCCGTCGGCTGCTGCACATGCCGTGAAAGCTATCTTGCTAGAGCCAGAATTGAGCTCACTGGAGCACAGGCTAGCGGATGAGACACTTTTGCAGGACGTCTTACATGATGCAATAGACCAGGACTACGAACTTTGAGGCAGGTTGCACAGAAGCGCGTTGATGTGATCCCTGAGCTTGCACTGACGCACCACGAGCGAGTTTTCTTTATTAAAGAGGGCGGCGACTGACGGCCACATTTTTTTTATTGTTTCGGTGTTTCAAGTAATGTTGCGAAGAACGCTTGTAGAATAAGCTGTTTACAAAGTCTCGTTAAGACACGAAGCGCAAGAAAGCACTGCAGAACGAAGTCGAGGGTGTGGCGGCCTGCCCTTGTGGAGCTGGAACACCCTCAGAAATATCGCGAGGCAGATTGAGAGAAGGTATCGTTCTTCTCAAGTGCCGACCATCCATCTCCTGACCAACCCCTCCCACCAACCCCTTGCCGAGCCGCTCTAATGATGAGCGTGTACCGAGCGTGAACACAGGCCAAGTCACTGGTACGGGGAATTGCCCCGCAGACACGCAAGCATGACACACGGACTGGCACACCCCCTTCCTGCTTTAGCCGCGTTAAGAGCGACTGGGGGGGAGAGGATACCTCGAATCTGCAGCAAACCAAGCCCAAAGGCTGATACAGGTCCCCAGCTCCCTTCCTGCTTAGCCGCGTTAAGAGCGACTGGGGGGGGGGGGGGGGGGGGGGGG